ATCAAAAATCAAACACATCGCCAGGCAGCAAGCAGCATCAGAATCATCTCAAAAGATCGCCGTCCTGTCATCGAGCCAAGCTTCTTCAAGTATTATAGAACCGACTGCAACATCAGCTCTCAACTATCAACTATCAACTCTCCAATCTCCAAACTCAACTCTGAACTCTGAACTCAACTCAACAGCTGAATGGTAAAAGCTTTGGCATTGTTTTCTAAATGTCTTCCATAGCATTTCTGGATGTTGTGTAACTATCGTCATTAACAAACCGCCATCTCCTACCATGGACATACTATCTCTATATCTCTAAAAATATATACTATATATCGTCATAGCACCAATTGTCATTCAACTACTCTCTCTCTCTCTCTCAATGCCTATATGTCTATATATCAAGTATTATATATTGTTCCGATGGATAGTAGGGACAAGAACCAACCAAGACAGAGGCTGCCAAATGCAATGTCAAAAAAAAAAAATAATCATCCAAAATCAATCGACAACAATCGATAACTTTTGCTGAAGCTTGCTGCTGCCGCTTTCTCTGTCTCTGTCTGTCTCTCACTCAGCCTCCTTCTATAAAAAATATATATTATATATATATCAATTGCATCGTAATTGTTGTTGTTGTTGTTATCGTACAAAAAAAACTATCTAACCAGAAACCATCAAGAAAAAAGGCCTAAAGGCACGCACCAACAGAACAACACTAAAATCGCCATCAAAGAACACCAAATATATATATCTAATCAATATCGAACGTCATCTATCGAATCAAAAATCGAATTAATTCAAGTCATCCGGATGTCGAGCGACCTACTAAACCACTGCGATGTCACCACTCTATTCAACCCGATCTATATATCTATATCTATATATATATATATGTCAACTTACTTACAACCACCGCATCATCATGAAGAGCATTATCCTTTAAAAAAAGAAATGCACAGTCCAAATGCCTTACAAAACTGCCATTAAACTCGATGTATCAATAATGAATATGCAACTCAGTTAACGATGGAGGGCGAGGGGGAGAGAGACTGAGAATTGAGGTCCTACTTGCAACATGCTCTATCTCTCTCCTGCTCGCCACATGAACCATGCGTGCCTATATATATGTCTATGTGTGTGTGGGATCAAAAACCAATAGAAAACCTATGAAAAGCCAGCTTAATTTAAACAAATTTTCCATTTCTTTTTCTTTCGTTTGTTGAACAAGTTTAATGATTGGAAAACGGCGCGTAGGTTAAATCGAAACAGAGCAACGACCACACGCCCAAAAACTAAAAATAAAAACTACAAAAACAATCTACAATTACAATATTATATATAAAAAAACATCAAAAATTAAACAAAATAAATCGCATAAGTCAGTTGAATATATAAGGGAAAAAACGAGTACAATCGATTCAAGGCAGAATCAATTCCGTCGCAAGCAAAACTGAAGACTGAACGGGAACGGCAACAATTCCAAGGCAATGGAGAGTATTATGAAGTCGGCCATGGACAGGGCGGCCGAGCAGCTGATTCAGCAGTTTGGCTTTGATTACATGCAGCAGCAGCTGCAGCTGCAACATCAGCAGCAGCAACAGCAGCTACAGCAACATCAACTGCAACAGCAGCAGCCAGAACAAGAACCAGAAAACGAACATCTCACATACCGATATCAGCAATCAAAGCCCACACATATGCAGCAATTAGCTTATAACTATCAGCCACGACATTCCACAACCACGTCGTCGCCCTCATCAACACATTCGCTGACCAGCAGCAGCAGCAACAGCAGCAGCGGCAGCAGCAGCAGCAGCAGCAACATCGGCAACATCAGCAACATCAGCAACATCAGCAGACACAGCAATCATAGCAACGCTGCATACTCATTAGCCGTTCATAGCTATAAACAGGATGATTTTTCGGCTAATCTCAGTCATATTCCGCATCATCAGATGGATCAATCGCCGATGAGTGAGAATGGTTCGCCAAATGCAACGCCAGGTGCACTGACGCCACCAGCAACATCGTTAACTGGCAACACGTCAGCAACATTGGCGGCAACAGCAGCATCAGCAGCAGCAGCAGCAACAGCAACATCGGGTGCCAACAACGCGCAACAGCAACAGCAACTGCTGGGCAACTATAAGACTAACTCCTGCTGGTGTTACGGTGAGTCTGATTAAGAACAAAAACGCAATCAACAACATCAGCATAGAACTATCAAAAGTTGCGCACAACTTCCTCTACTACACCATACATAAAATGTACACCACTTCTCTATCTATATAACTATCTCGAGCTCGCTACAAACCAACCAACCAACCAACCAACCAGCCAACAACAGCATCAATCACCACGTCGCCTCATTCTAAATGCCGCCAGCAACTTAAAGAACCAAAAAAAAAAAAAAAAAAAAAAAAAAAAAAAAAAAAAAGAAAAGTACAAGAACAAGATCGCCCAAAATGTCAAACGAACCAGAACGCCAAACAAGATGCCACAAGCTATAAATGAGTTATCCATTAACATTGCGTTGAAAGTTTCGAAAGAAAATAATCCAAACATCACCAACATCCAGCACACATTCCTCCGATACACAAAATAAAACCAACAAAATCAACAACAAACACTCATAGAAAACTCAGCAGCCAAAAAAGAAACAACCAGCCAGCAAAAAAAAAAAAAAGAAACAGCCACAATCGACTATATAAAAATCTCATATGCTAATCGTACGCTTTAATGTGGGCGTCCATTTCAATTTTGAATGTGCCTTCAAATATTATGTCTTACGTATACACGACTTTCCTTCAGCATGTGCCGTGCCCTAGTGATGATTCATGAGTGTTTTATTAAGATTTACACTTGGATTTAGTGGAAGAGTGTGTTTGAAGGGGAATTAGCTAAGAAAATGTCTTAACTAGTCTCAAACTAGGTTTTTATTTCGATTTTTATGAGTGTCAATCAAAGTCCTCTTAAATTTTGTTGATTCAACCACTTTTATTCAGAGTAAAGTAGAAGATACTTACAATTTCTCACTTAAAAGTTAAGTTTTGGATTCCAAAGTTTGGGGTTGTAGAATTTGATATTAGTCTACCTTAAAGATTTTTCCATAAATTCTTTAAAAACTCTTTTCTTTTTCTTTTCTTCTTCTGATTACCATAGCAAGGAGTATTTAAACAAGTTTAGAAAACCAAAAATCAATTTAAGCAATCTTTCATTGTCTTTAAAGACCATTTAAAGCACTTCCTGGTATGCAGAAAAATAAACGAAGTTGTCGCTTTGCAGGAACCAATCATTTAATCGCGTGTCATATGTCCCTGCACTACGCATACGTCGCGTGGTACGCGACAAGCACTTGCTACTCGGGCTTTGCTTTAACAATTTGCGTGTTGCAGATTGCCGCTCCATGGCATTTATTGTGGTTTTTGGGTTCTGGAATGGTATATAGTATATAGTATATAGTATAGTATGGGATGGTAGCTGTGTGCCAGCTTGTCGTTAGCCTAGTTTCCCGTCCAATCCCGTCCATACAATGCATACGAAATTAGTCTCCAGTCTGCCAGCCTGACTGCCTGACTGCCTGCCTGCCTTCTGCAGCCATCCTGCAATAGCCCCCTACCACGCCCACATGCAGCTCAATGGGCGGTCGGTGGTCTTTCTGGCCAATGTGCTGCAAGTGTTATTTATGACAGTCACATAATTTAAGCTGCTGCACAGTGTCAACAACAACGCAGCTTCGCAGCGTTCTTGGCCGGTCCTTGGTGGCCCATAAAACGCTAAGCAAATGGTTTTTGTTTATACCCTCTCTGCATATTATTTACCATGCACATTTTCTAGCTCTCCTTTATTTACGAGTATTTTCTTTTACCATAAAATTTATTGGGTTTTCTTTTGCTTTTACTTTTTTGTTTTGCTGCCGTAAAGGAATTTTACGAAATTCCACTCTATTCATATGGAATAAATGATAGATAACTGACAGATGCGTCCGGCGTACGCGGAGCACTTTCAATTATTTCTGTTTCAGTGGCGGAAATTGGCCAGCATGCTGCTAAATATGTGGGCTCAATTCGCTTTCGTTGCACATTGCGAATTCTTTGCAAATCGCATTTTCACACATGCATGTAAAGCAGGGCAAATGGTCCAAGTTTTCCACCCCCTCCTCGAATACACCGAACAGCAAAACACCAAACCCCAAACCCCAAACCAAAAACCCAAGCCCCGCGGCAATGTCAGTGCATCATGGCGCACATGTGTGTGCGATGTATCTAATTAGAGAAATACTTTTGAAGGACACTCTGCCGCTGAGTGGCAACGAGACCAAGACGACGTCAACGTATGGCACACATTTCACCCATTCCCAAGGGGGCAGGACGGGGGCTTGAAGGAAAAGGAAGGAACTGGGGTGGTGGTCACAAAAGGGGGTACTACGAGGAGGATAGAGGCTAAATTTAAACAAAACGAGTGCCAAGTGGCAGCGACAAAGTCTTGGGCTGTGCCTTGTCTGCCTTGCCTTGCCTGCCTGCCTTGCCAGCCGCCAAGTTGCACGATGGCAGGCAGTCAGGTGCAACGCGCTTAGATCATTCCATTCTGCTCCATGCTCCGTTGTTGTTTTTGTTGTTGTTCTAGCCAATGCTCTTGTGTAATAGAGCGTCTCCGCTTGACACATTTTATTAATTGAAATTTGTTTGTTTACTACTACTGCCGTCGTCGTCGTCGTCGTCGCCGACTGTCGGTTGAGTCGGCGACTTCAGACTTGAGGCTGTGTGACGCAGATGATATCATTCATTCGCAGGGAGGAGGTTCCATTGGATCAGCCATCAGTATCTGCATCAGCCATCAGTATCTGCATCTCCATCTCTATCTGCATTTGCTGCATCATCCATGATTCGCTACATTCACATCATTTAGCCGTGTAATGCATGTGTATTGCTGGCGCTTTAATTTTTGTTTTCGAGAAAATCCCAACTTATAATCATTGTTTGTGTGTTCTTTTCTTTCCATTTCAGGTGAGTCAGTTTGTTCTGGAATTGAGGTTGAAATTGAAAATAATAACAATAATCATATTCATCATGGTAAGCTTTGTCACACTTTCATTAAATACCATTAAATCCATCTTTGTCTAGCCAAACGATCGACTAATTCAAGATTAATACACCGACTAAAGTGTAGCTCTATCCGTTTCTTTTTCTGTATCTCTAAAACTAGATCGCTGTCTGTGTTTTTTTTTGAATATTTCGCTGCCGAAAGCGCGCTTTTTGACTGAAAAAAAAACGAAAACGAAAACAGACTGATTGTGTGACCCAACTGACTACCAACTACTAAGCACATTAACCTTTGACCCTTTGACCGACTTTTGCTTTGACTTACATTATGTTTTTTGGAATTTATTTCGTTTTTTTTTTCGCTTTTGTGGGTTGCCCAAGCGCGGGCAGTGTAGATAGTAAATTTGCGGGGGGCTCTCGTTTTTTGTTTATAAACTTTGTTTCCTTTGGTCAAGCCAATAACCTTGGGCGGAGAAGTAGTCAACGGTCTTTCATGTGTTTCGTGTGTCGCCAGCATTGTCTGTTCCATCTCATCTCGAGCGCATATCTCCCTCATGGCTTGCCCACCAACAACAACCACCAACAACAACCAAAAGAAACTACTACTACAGAAACAGACCACAGTCGACAACCATGCCAGCACCACCATAACCAATCCATGCCCACACAGCAGTTAACCATGCTAAAAACCAATCACTAAAACTAAGTCGAATTAGAAATCGAAATCGAAATCGAAATCGAAATCCATATCTCTATCTGAAAACTATAAACTAAAAACTAACTAAAGTTTACGAACGTCCCTCGTTGCGAGCGTCCAGCTGAACGAACAAACGATCGACGCTGAAATGCTGTTATTATTTTTAATTTGTAACAACCTGCCGAATGAGCTAGAAACTAGATCTAACCAGCAACTAACTAGATTGTATGCAACAGCCAAGGGCACACAGACTAACCTGTACAACAACCCCTAATCTATTGACTTAAAAAAAAAGAATAATAAAATTTAAAATTAAAAAGAAACCAAATCCAAGAGAATCCCCTGAGACTAATCCACTGGTTGCCCTGTGAACTCCTCTTGATCTTATGCTTTCAGGCGAGACAACGTATCACATGAAAATACTGGTGCCCGCGGTGGCCTCCGGGGCCATCATCGGCAAAGGTGGCGAGACTATCGCCTCCCTGCAGAAGGACACGGGTGCTAGGGTCAAGATGTCCAAGTCCCATGACTTCTACCCAGGTGAGTCTTACTAAGCTTTACATTATCTCTGATCTTAACTAATGGTTAAAATCCCTTATTTTTAGGCACCACCGAACGAGTGTGCCTGATCACTGGCTCCACGGAGGCCATCATGGTCGTGCTGGAGTTCATTATGGACAAGATTCGCGAGAAGCCCGATCTGACCAACAAGATTGTCGATGCCGAGTCAAAACAGACCCAGGAGCGCGACAAGCAGGTCAAGATCCTGGTGCCCAACTCGACCGCCGGCATGATTATTGGCAAGGGCGGTGCCTTCATTAAACAGATTAAGGAGGAGAGCGGCTCCTATGTCCAGATCTCGCAGAAGCCCAAGGATGTCTCTCTGCAGGAGCGCTGCATCACCATCATTGGTGACAAGGAGAACAATAAGAATGCCTGCAAGATGATTCTCTCGAAGATCGTCGAGGATCCTCAGTCGGGCACCTGCCTGAATGTCTCATATGCGGACGTCAGTGGACCGGTGGCCAACTTCAATCCAACCGGTTCTCCATATGCCACCAATCAAAATGCCATCAACTCGAGCACCGCCTCGTTGAACTCCACGCTGGGCACCACGATCGGCGGGGCGAACTCGGCGGCCAGCCTGCTAGTCCACGGCACCGGCATCAATTTGTCCATTAATCTGGGCTCACCCAATCCGGCGCCAAATCTAACGGTTGCCACTCAACTGCTCGAGCATATTAAGGTAAGAATGGGATGTTTTCAATGTAAACATGGCGTATACTTAATATTTGTTTTTTTCTTATAGGTTGCCATGCGGGGCTCTGGCTACTCGGAGACCGTCACGAACGAAGTAGTCGCCGCCCTTGGCGTACTGGCCAAGTACGGCGTCCTGGGAATGGGTGTGGGCGTGCCGCATACCAATGGCGCCCACTCAACGCTGGGCAACTTTCTTGGGGTAACGACGCTGGACCAGCAGACTGCGGCCGCCGCATCCGCGGCCACCGCCAGCAATGTGTTCGGTGCCGTCGGCCAGGTTAATCTGGAGCAGTATGCCGCAGCAGCGGCCGCTGCAGCTGCCGCTAGCCGGCCGACGCAGTCGCAACTGGACGCTGCCGCTGTGCAATTCGATCCATTCCGCCATTTGGGCTCGGCCACGGCGCCGGGCGCCACGCCCGTCTCGCTGAATAACAATAGCTTCGGGCTGACGGCAGCCACGGGAACGGCGACCACGGCACAGCTGGGCGGACTCAGCAAGAGCCCAACACCTGGTGATTTGAGCTCCAAGGACTCGAAGAACGTTGAGGTGCCGGAAGTGATTATCGGCGCTATTCTAGGTGCGCGTCCTTACTATTATCCCTACTAAATTGCAAAAAACCAAGCAACAGAGAACCAACAACACCGCAATTTTCTTTACCACTTTCAAATATCCCAGCTCCCAGCTCCCAATACCCAACCTTCTCCTAAATCCCCGTTTGACCCTTAGCACCTGTGAAAATGCCGGAGGATTAACAGTACCCCCATCCCGCTTCCATTTTTGATTAGCCATAAAAACCATTAGACATAGAGCAAAAGCCAACCAGACACAGGCACTTCATTCCAGACTCATTCCAGAGAGAGAGAGAGAGAGAGAGAGAGAGAGTCGATTTATTGAGTTATTTTTCTAATTCCATTCCTTGCACACATTCCGTTAGACATTCTCAGAAGGTTTTTCCAGTTAACAATTTCATTCAAACTTATAGCGAAATTTCTAGTCAAGTTCTTGCCTCTCACCCATCCGTCAGCATATGAACCATGCTACCCTTTCGAAAACCGCTCAATCTTTCCCAGAAAAGCCAACATTACCACCACCACCACCACCACAACCCACTGAAAATTCGCACAGAACAGCAGCATCCGTTAGGATTAAGATGAAGAAGAAGGAGAGTAGGCCGTAGGTTTTAGCAGTTAGATTTTCGTAGGTCGAAAACACACTTCACAGTTCACACTTTTTTCACCATTTCGTTTAAGCCCAACGAATTTTTGTCGATATACTTACAGTTGGCTAGTGCAATACTTGGGTAACCACGCGTGAAATATATAATTTACATTCGCTTGTGGCGCAGTTAATAATGTTTATTTTTTTGTTACCTCAGTGTCAGTTGTGTAAGGTCGTGAGGTCATTAGGTTATAGCCCACTCTGTGACCCCCTTTTGTTTTTTCACCTTTCGTTCTTTGGTTTATCTTTTTTTTCTTGTGTTTACTTTTTTCTTTTACTATTTTTTGGCGTCCTTAACACCTTACCGCTAAAAACACGCCTATATATGAAAAAAAAAATCAAATCTTTAAACTATAATACCCACATATATATATATATAATAATATATTATCCATAATATCATTTTTAATAATTTTACAAAAGAAAATATTTAACATAAATCTGATGCAAATATTCCAGGTCCGAACGGTCGTAGTTTAGTTGAAATTCAACATGTTTCTGGCGCAAATGTGCAAATTTCCAAAAAGGGCATATTCGCACCTGGCACTAGAAATCGCATTGTAACCATAACTGGTCAGCCCGGTGCCATTGCCAAAGCGCAATATCTAATTGAACAGAAAATCAACGACGAGGAGACAAAGAGGGCGCGACAAATTCCATTAACCACTGTTGTGAATTAAAAAAAAAGAAAAACAAACAAAAAAACAAAAACTAAAACAAAAACATACAACATACACATAATAATATCCGAGTAAAGCAACCAACCAGCAATCTTAACAAAACAACAAACAAACAGGCAAAGAAAAGCAAAACAACAACAACCAAACTACCCCTTACTATACCCCCCTTCCTTATAACACACAAAAACAAACACACATACATAGTTTTTCCTCTAAAAAAATTTGTTAATTTCTTAAAGAAAAGAGGAGGAGAAGAACACTTTAAATGATAAAGAAAAAACTAAAAATAAAATGAGAAGGAAAAACACCAATTGTTATGCGTGCAGCTAAGAGTTAAGCAATTAAAAACAAAAAAACAAAGAAAATAATACTATAATTATGTATTTGCAAGAGAAAAACCCCATAAACCTTTTGAGTAATCTGTTCCAAGGCCTTCACCTCAAGAGATTTGCTTTAACTAAAGACGCCCTTTAAGAGAGAACGGGCGGAGAGAGGGAAACTACGAACTAGTGAACTTTTTGTATAGATACTATGTACTACCCTTCTCTACTATTACTACTATTATTGTTGCATTTGTTTGTCACGCTCGAAACGTAAAAAATTGAAAACAAGTTATATTGCCAATTGCCAGTTAGACACAAACTAGTTGCAAAAGTTAAACACACAAAAAAAGAAGCAAAGAAAAATGAAGGAAAATTCAAACAGAAAAAACGTTTGGGTTTTGTTTGTTTTTGTGATGCGTATGTTTGCGTTGCGTGTTTTGTTTTTATATATGTATAATATATATATATATATATTATTTTTTTTTATTCTTTGGTACTCCCGACCAAGCTTTACGATATACAATATACATGGGGCATATATACATATGTATATGTACACAGTTGTTGAGTCTTGTTTATATATATATATTATCTACACACACACACACATATGCCCATACATATATATATATACATATGCCGCCACCCACTTACACACACACACAACCCCAACACACACCTAATTATTAGCATTATGTTGAGCTAAAAAACAAGTTGAAAAAGAAAGAAAATGTATAATGAGCGAGCGTTTTCAGTGAAAACTTCAGGTGATTCTTACCCTCGAAATAAGGTAAATATTTTACTACACCCTCTCACACACACAGAGAAACAACAACAACAAAAATACAAACACTTGCTATATTACAACAACTACAACAACAGGCTAGTGAAATGAAAAACAAAAATACAATTTCAGACATAAGAAAAACCCAAACTTTAAAAAGTGACTCTGTTGACATTTTTTCGTGATTTCGTTAAAGTTTTTTCTGTTTTTTTTATCTGTTCTCTGTTGTTGCCCCTCTCCATATAACTGCTTATCGCTGTTACTATATATATATATCTTATATATACACCTAAGATTCTGCAGCCCGACCTTTGTATATGAACACTTTCGGTACGCTACAGTTGATGTTGATCATGATAATGTTGTTTAGTTATAGATACGATCCGATCTGATCGGATCGAGTGGTGTTAATGTGTTGCGCGCGCACGTGAGTCTCCTTTTGGTTATGATTTTGTGCTCCCGATTTGTTACTCCTTTTGTTTTCTATATATAATACATACATATATATATTTTATTTATGAAAAGAAAAAAATTGATAAACACACATTGCGATTTGTTAGTTGCCAGTCTGAGAACTGCACTCTCTCCCCACTCTTTGACCTTTCCGTCTGTTTTTTCCCCCCCGTCATTTTGCGTTTGTTAACCTCATTTCTTTTGGTAAATTTAGCACATTTGTTTCTTACCATTTCTAATTTTAAGTCTTACATTTTCTCTCACCTAATGCATCACAAAATATCTTAAAAATATATATATGTAAAACTTAGTGAAAAGCAACGTTTCTTTGTAAAATATTCACATTAAAAAAAAGCATTCATTTAGGGGTTTCTTCATACGTCAAAAAACAAAAAAACAAACAATCCACCATATCCAATTTCCCTTGTTAATTTTAAGTATTGTGCAATTATTAAACATTATTTCAAAAAACATTTCACAACGATTATATGTACATATCTATCTAGAAACGCAGTGTAAAGACAGAAGAAGATGTTAACATCACATTTTGATAATTTCCCAAAATTCATATATATACACACACACAAATTACACACACACACACAAGGACTAAAGTACCCATACACCGCTCACCTACAGAGAGAGAAATATTCCTTACTTGTAATGAAGTTTTTCTTATTTACTTTATTCCTTACACATATAATTTAGTTTAACACAATTCTTTTCGATAAATAAAAGCGAAGATGAAACGAAATTTAAATAAAATTTGATTACAAAAACAACAATAAAAACCAACCAATGTGCAATGTTTATTTTCGTGTTTAATTTTATGGAGCGTAATGCGCACCACCACCATCGCCCCCCTCCATTGCCCACCACCCATCCACACACCCACAAGCGCTGCACCCCACCACTAACCAAATCGTATTACCCTTCAAAAAAAAAAAACCAACTCAATCTACAACATTATCATGACCAATCAAAATCAACTCAATCAGACAGTCAGCCCCTCAATCAGTCAACACAATTCTTTGCTCAGTTCGATTTCTGCAACGATTTCGATTTCAATTTCGATTCAATCACTGAAAACGCTCATCAACGTAGTGAAAATGATAAATCAGTTAAATGAAAATGAAAAACCACAGTAATAAACCAATCCTAAGCTAAGTCTATATATATTTAAGTTAAAAGTTGTTCTTATTAATTTTTGCTATTATTGTTAAAACTTACCTACAATTGTTCTTATTTGTGCAATATTTATATGATACGATTAAAAAAAAAGAAAATACAAAAATCAAATGAAAAACAGAACATATAATTAACAAAACAAAAACAAAAACGAAAATGATAAGATAAAACGAAGGAGATCTATAAGCAAACTAAAAGAGAGAAAGTGAAAAAATATGGAAACAAAGATGAGAGTAAATTTGAAAGTACAGTCGTAAATGCTAGTGTGCCTTGAAATATGCATTAACATCCAAAAAGAAAACTAAAAACGAAAACGTAAAGGGGAGAAGGTATAAGGAAAATCGATGTTGGTGTTTTATTTTAAATCAATGATTTTATGTTTATGTCATAAAGCGAAAAACAAAAACAGAATTTTTGAAAATACATACAAATGAACAATAGACCGTCTGAGAACAGCAGAATTCCACAAGTAACAACTTTGAAACGTAGCTTAACAAACAAAAGAAACAACAACAGCCAAAAATCACAACAAGCATAAAGACACAAGCTCCCCCTTCGTCCACCCCACAACAACCAGTCAACCAATCAATCAGTCAATCAGCCAATCAGTCAACCAATCAACCAAACCAACAAACAAACGTACATTTCTTTCGACTTCTTTGGCTTGCGTCAAAAATGGGAAATCAGAATCGAAGCACTATATAGTCCATAACAATATCACAGACATACAGACTACCCTTACACCCCCCTACATATACCACACACACCCACACACACAGACAAAACACACCGCCACCCATACATTCACACATTCGTACTAAATATCAGTATCACTACTTGCGCGTGCTCACTGTGTTATGTTTAAAAATGTATGAGTTTTATATGATATCTAAACATAGTAGAGGAAGGATGAAGAAATAAACACAAATATATATACTTATATTTGTACTGGATCTGTGATATGTATTTAAAAACAAAACAAAAAAAAATGGAAACAAAAAAAAGAAAACAACAAGAAAAAAGTCAACAAAACAAAGCAAAAAATATATTTATTAAAAAGGAAAGGAAGTCAAACGATACTTGAAATTAATTATGAAATAATTAATTTTTTAATGAGACAACTAAGAGAAAAGAAAAGCTTTACTTGAAAAGCAAAAGAAATCTCCCCCGAAAATCAAGTTCTCAATTCATCGATCGATGCATTATGCATTGGACAGTCCGAGAGAATCAGAGTCCAACCACACCCCCCACCCCCTGCCCCGAAAAAACTCTCTCCATATGCATACGTACATTCACTGCAAAAGGTCTTTGCCACAATTCCAAGCTCCGGTTTTTGTCTCTCACAACAAACAAACATTTTGTCCGATTTGTGATCCAAAAATTATGTAATATTACCTCTCTGAGGCTGAGAGGGCATGACGAAGGGTAGTTGAGGGGAAAATAAAAACAAACTGATGAGATACTCGAGGGTTAAGAACCGATCGGATGAGATTTGAGAAATATATCCGATTGGTTCTGTTAGCCCGCGTCCCGCTTTCGACGTGTTTATATGCTTGTTTGGATTTTATTGTTTGAATGCGTTTGTTATTTGCTGTACAAATTGAAGCTTCATGCAACCACGCTGGCCCACATCCGCAGGAATTTGCAGAAAGAAAAAAATGGTATGTGGGTGGCCTTCAGCACACACACACACACACTCAGTCTGCCCACCCCCCAAATCCAAGTTAGAGAGCCGCATGATTGCTTTGTGCTTACCATCGATACAACTGTTACTGCCACTGTGGCATCCACAAACTAAAAGTTAGAAGAAAAAAAACTTACCACTTATCAGGCACATTTGTCATGCAATTCACCCCCTTTCGCCGCCACCCACTGTACACCAACTTTATCCACTGCAATCATACGAAACTAGGAAACTTTGGAAAGACGTGCGCATTATTGAGTTCGGCACACCACTCATACACCCATTTAACAAACACACACACACACACAGGAGTTTAGGAGTTTTATTAAATTACATACACACACACACATATATATATATATATTGAAAGGCATCTATAACAATAACAATGGAGGAAAGGCTAGATGGTAGGGAAAATAAATGAAAAGTAATACAGCTGTTATTTCAACGACGGAGTCTATTAGTGTTAAAGTAGTAAACATAAAAGCAACTTTTATTAACTATATACATACAGTACATTAAATATCTAAACTAATTCAAATTCAAACTTTGAAAATTTAAAGAAACAAATAAAAGCGAAGTGGCAAGCCGAGAGTTTTGCTCTTCGAAAGGAAAATCCGTATGTTGCTAAAAGAAACGAAAAGAAAAGAAAAGAAAAATACAAATATGTAAAGAGGAGTTCAATTTATCAATCAAATCTCGTATAGTGCATACATATATTACATACATACATAACGGCATACTTAAACCGAAAGTTGATCGTAATGAGAGTAACTTTAATTATAATTTGTTATGCTTTGGCGCCACCACCAACCCCCACACTGTTATTAGAACAATTAAACATTATTGATATATAAATGTACACCCTCCCCCCCCCATATGCATATATCTATTGAAAAATCGTCAGAAGAACAGATTTATGGTATATGGTTAGGTCGGAGAACTAACTCAAAATCATTATATAACCTCATATAGCATTGTATGTATAAAAAGAAATCTATCGGATGGGCCGACGACCCAGCGGCGGCGGCGGCTATGGAGAGACGCGTTCATTCAGCAACCACAACAGAAGCATACAACATTAGTAAAATATTAAATACTATATATATATATATATATACATACACTAAAAGTATAAATCGTAGTCGTTAGTGTGATAAATACAATTAATATTAATTAATTCAAGCAAATAAAAGCGGTTTAACGATTCAAACAAAACAAACGAACCCAGTTACTGCAAGAAAGGTTCGTGCCAGGCCTCACTTTTCTCACAAAAAGAGGAAGTGCAGCTGGGCACGGACCCCGAAAAACTATTTATTTATCTGCGTTTCCATTTGGCACACAGTTCATTTAGCACACATGGGTCTACATCAAAAGATATGTAAAGTAGCCGACAAAAGATTTTAAACTCTCTTTCTAAATGATCTGATGAAAATCTAATAATGGAGCAAAAACGTTAAATGATCCTAGCCTAAGTCATAATTCATAATACTGCATGTCACAGTCATAGTGAGATCAGTCGGTCATAAATAAATGAAATCTTATTCAGTGTACAAAATAGTTAACTTTCGGATCGTATAAAAAGCAAATCGAATTTTCGAGTCTTCTTCACTTAAAAAAAAAAAAGAAAACACTTTCGCAACCGAGAAAAAACCTAAAGAAGTTGCATACGTGAGTACCTTAGAAAACCGAAACAAAAAGTTAAATAGAAATTACGGCCTTCACGGTATCTGGCCAATATCGACAGCAGCAGCAGCAGCAGCAGCAGTAACAGGTCCCCGAAAGTCCAACATTTCGCTCAACAACATTTTGTAGAGATTCTCATTTTATACACTTAAAGAAAATATAATTGATTCGATAGGATTACTTTGCGAACCTCTGAAAGTTTCTTAGGAGATCCACTAGCACACACACACACTCACAGTTCACTTCGTTGCACACACACACACACACACTACGAGTACTAGGAACTATGAACAGCAGCAGCGGCTGCCACACTTTTCGATCTCTCAATAGGTTTATAGAATAAATGAATTATTAATTAATAATAATAACAAAGATATATTGACACTGATCGATGGTCATTCGAAAGCGCGGAACATTAGCAGAAAATGCAAAAACATCATGGAAACTCATTCAAAAGTAAAAGTACTAAATCTTTTATGATTTGACTGTGATAATAATAATGACAAAATATGAGAAATGAAGTCGGAGGGTGTAAACAAATTAACGTATATAGAGTATTTAAATGTATGTAAATACAATGCCGCCTATATAGGCTAAGCAAATGTAATATTAACCTAGGTGCGAAATGATGATGAAATTATGGCTCCAAAAAATATGAAAAAAAAAAAACAAATTCAATCCAAGATCCAAGAATTCAGTTTTTGTGGAGAATTTAGCGAATGTTGATTAAATAACAGCAATGAGAAGGAAAATTGCGCAGAGAGAGACAAGTTTTACTTATACATATTAGCAAAATATTTAAATAAAATTTTAGCAAACCAAATCCCTTTCTGAGTGCAAATGAACCGAAAAAAAAAATAAAGGATGTCTTAATATTGAACTAAAGAAAACCAAAATGCAAAATGAAATCAACGATATTTAGTTATGCTCTATTTACAAAGTATAATCAATTGAAGTTTTTTAAAAATCAAGTAGCAAAGCAAACGATTTTATAGATTTATTCAGTTAGCATTTGAAAATCGCAATGGGAAAAAAGGTTCACACATAACCACGGTATATAACGTATGTAGGTTTTCTTTTCCGTTTTTTTTCTCTCAACTTCATTTATACGAGATATAGATTTGAAAATGGAAAAACCAAAAAAGGATAAGACAAGTAACACAAAACAAACAAACAAAATAGTCTAGTGAAATCTTTAAAACAATTAAATCAAAAGGTATCCCTACAAGAAGATTCTTTAAAGTAGCTCATTCAAGTTTTAACAAATCGAGAAAAACCAAAACCAAAACCAAACCAAAACCAACATAATTTTTGCAATTAAACAAACGAAAAGAAAATGAAAATGATGAAAAACTTGTACAATTGCGAACGAAAAGTATGCAAAAACAGTTACTCCTCTCTACGTACATATATATGCATAGCTATATAACCCCCAAAAATGAATCATACTCGAACGAAAAAAAACCAAAAAAAAAACAAAAATGATGATTATAATGATCCAGATTGCGACTAAAACTAAAACTAAAACCTTACGGTAATGGCGCACTAAATGGCCAACAATAATGAAAATGAAAGCTAAGCTAGGTAGGCGAGGTCGATCGGTGACGATGATGTTATACGATACAGTACAGAACATGCATGTATATCGAATGTAATGGTTATGTTATGTAATGCGTCCGCCGCATCTGTATGTATGTAATAGTATTTATAGTAAAAATTTGTTGAATACATATATACACACACACCACAGCAGAAGACACAACCACAGAGATAAAAAACAACCAAAACACACACTCTCCAACCAGGAAAGCCAATAAGTGCATACTACCACATACATACACACAGAAACATTATAAAGATCCGCATCCAGGATGGAAAATTAGAAATGCAAAGTTAGGTCGGTACATAAATGAATTACGTGAATTACACATTACACATTTAAGAACGATTATATAAAAATGACAAAACTAATAAAAATTATATTATAATTCAATATGGTTTTACTTCGATTGTGAAGGAGGGTTTTTAAGGTTGTTTAATATCAAAAAAGTAAGGAATGTCTTTTACATTAGTCTTCTATATTTCTTATTTCTTTAAAAATTCTGCTGGACAGTCTGGCTGAGTGCTGGGATGAGTGCTTTTAAAGGCATCCAGTAGTTGCAGTTCTTGATACAAGCGAACTGTAGTGGGATATGGACTCAAGTCAACTTTGTATCTACAAAAATATTGATAAGTAAGAGGAAAAGAAAGAAGGTCCTAGAGAGCCTTACCTTCTAGCATTGCGAACCTGAGGCACAAGACAAAGATCAGCCATTGTAAGCTCATTTCCCACACTGAATTTTCCTGCTGATTGAGAAAGCACAGTTTCCAGGCCACGAAAGCCATAGGAGATCCAGTGCTGAGCCCATTTCAAGCCCTCATCCTTGCCCAAATGATTCTGAACTGCAATATTTTGCAGAGGCTGAATGCCCGAGCATATAAGCTCTACGATTTCCCGAACCTTAGCTCTCTTCACCGAATCCTGGGGCAGAAGTGGCACCTCAGGACGCGTCTCATCCAGGTAATGCATTATGGCCACAGAGTCGCACAGCGTATGTCCATCTATTGGTTAAGAAATTTTAGATTGGTAATGATTAAGAAACTATTACTTACCAATCTCCAAAGCTGGAACCTTTTGCATGGGGTTCACTTTTCTAAATTCATCTGTGTAGACATGTTTGTTGTCTGTTTTTACCAGAGATGTAGGTTTAACTTCGTAATCTATTCCCTTGATTGCCAATGCTATGCGAACTCTCCAAGAGCATGAGCTTGCCCAGAAAGAATATAGTATAGGCTTTGAGTTGGTTGATATATTCCGGGATAAAGCCGTGGATCCAGAAGAACTGCATAAGTGCGCTAATTGCAATCCTTTATAGGGTAACTGTCTAAGTGCAGCCATTTTTCTTTTTTAAATCAAATAGTATCTCGTTTTTGTTTGAGAACACAATTATTACCACTGATGAACAAATCCGACTGATAATTGATAGCGCATCAATATCATTTCTCAGCTGTTGTTATTGGAGACTTTTTTGGAGAACACTCATTAAAATGGAAGTATATATATGGCTTCTCCCAAAAGTAGGCAATAATGTTTGTACCAAGCATGTATATTACATTTTTCTTTTTGTATATATGCAGTTTTTTAATGTTTTTATAAATTTTAAAATATCGTTTTATAATAAAAAAAATAAATGCAATTTAAACACCTTTAGCAATCCATGCTCTAAAGTTCTTACTATTTCTGAGCGAATTTCGGCGGACAGTCGGGTTGTCTGTTGGGATGAGTTGTTATAAAAACATCTAGTTTTTGTAGTTCTTCGTCCAAGCGAACTATGGTAGGATAAGGACTTAGGTCAGCTTTATATCTGGAAAATAATTAATAAATTAATAAGTAAATAAAGAAATTAACAAGTTTCTTACCTTCTGGCATTGCCAACCTGTGGCACGAGACAAATATCAGCCATGGTTAGTTCATCTCCCACACAGAACTTCCCAGCCGACTGTGAAAGAATTTTCTCCAATCCTTGAAATCCACGATTTATCCAGTGCTGAGCCCATTCTAGACTGTTGTCCTTTCCTACGTGATTCAGGACTGCGCTATTCTGCAGTGGCTGAATGCTAGAGCCAATGAGTTCCACAATTTCTCGGACTTTGGCTCTCTTAACAGGATCTTGAGGGAGGATTGAAGGCTGAGGACGAGTTTCATCCAGATAGTGCATTATGGCCACCGAGTCACAAAGTGTATGACCATCTAATATCGTATGATAGTTAGATTGAAAATAATTTTATATGTCACTTTTTTTATCACTTACCAATTTTCAAGGAAGGAACCTTTTGCATGGGATTTACTGCTCTGTATTCCTCTGTATAGGCATGATCGCTGGCTGTTTTTAACAAAGAAGTGGGCTTAATTTCGTACTCTATCTTCTTGATTGCAAGTGCTATGCGAACTCTCCAGGAACAAGAGCTTGGCCAGTAGGAATACAGAATAGGTAAAGAATGTGTTGACATTTTGCGGACGTAGGAGTCAGAAGTCTTGTTTAACTGCGCCAAAAGGAAGCTTTTATTAACAAACTGTCTAGCTGCTGCCATAAATTTCTTGTCAAATTAAACTGAATCTTTCATCTGTTGAGTAATACAATTTATAAGCCTGCGAAGAAAACTTGTTTACCTATGCTAATTGATAGCGGGTCTAAGCACAGCTGTTCTGATTGGAGACTTTATTGGCGGAACTATCGATAAAATAGCTATATTCGTATGGTGCCCCTAAAAGCAGGCAATGGTTTTTGTGATATGTATGTAGAAAGAGGATTTTATGGATATGCAAATTTTTATAGTAAAAACTAAAAAACAAAATTCTGAAAAATCATAAATATTTCTTTTACCAAACTTAAATATTAATTAAACAAATATTTTTGTAACAAAGTTTTTGTTTAGTTTGAAGTTTATTTATTTATAGTATATGGAACTGTTACAATATTTCGGAAATTATGCATATTAGTTGGTTTTTGTATTCAATTTGGTATTCATTTTGGTATGCGAAAATGCGCAGCTCGTCCTATATAATGTATATTTGTAAGATGTGACTATCGGCGTTCGTCCTTCTCCGACGTGTGCATTGTACTGTCGTGCAGGATAGTAAGTAAGTATGTACTTGGCATCGGCAGGCTTACATCTACTCGTACAGGGGTTTTGTTTGTGAAGATACTCTCTCAAGATCCAATTTACATCAACTTGCTAATAAAATTACTGTGCACTTAATTGGATGGCATTATCATTCGTCTATGTGCATTGAGTTGAGATAAGTTATGCTTTATGCTTTCGTGGTATCAAGGAGTCATAGCGACCGATGGAACCATCAAATATAGGCTATACAGCATCGATCGATGCCTTTGCTTAGATCTTTTAAAATACTTAGGATTTATTCGATTTTAGTGTATAGTTTGTATGTTGGTATTTAGTTTACTTATTGGTTGACTGAAGTTTTGTACTTTGTGAACGATTTGTTTAGCATTTGCCCAACTTTGACATGAAGTACTTATACATACATACATCGTTTATATTTGTATATCTTCGATAGTGTTTCTAAATTTGTATTTTTCTTTCGATTTTTTTATGTTTTTAAATCCCTGAATTTGAATTTTGCTTTTCGTCATGAGAGTTTTCCTTGAATTTGTTATGTTTTGTTAGCCTAAATAAAATGCATAAAAATAAGTTACATTTAAAATATATATGAGTTCATCTTTTAGATCATGTTCACAATGACAAACTAAGGGAATCTGAAGAATTTATTATTATTAGTTTTTGTTCCGTTTTTGTTTTTTTTTCTTTTTTACTTTTTTTGAGAATTATGCATTTGAATTTCGTGTGAGGAATTTCGTTAATTTTTTATATCGATAGTATTTTTATGCATTTATGCATATTTAAATGCTGTTAGCAATTTCTTAAATCACATCCGACTGTTTCTGCTTAAATGGAATCATCGCCATCTGCCCCATCCATCCGCCATCGACATCGCCTTCGCCATCCGTCTGCCCACCGATCAGATTTAAGTTCTTAGTTTGTCCTGTGCCTGCGTTACGAACTGCAATTCACTTTTTCGTCTTCCGGCGCTTTGCAGTTGTCGTCGGAAAATTCTATTTGTTGGGCAGCTCCGGCGGACAGTCCGGTTGATTGGAGGGATGGGCCGCCCGGAAGGCGGGATTGCTCTCCAATTCGCGGTCGATGCGGAGTATTATGGGATAGGGGCGCAAGTCCACGTGGAATCTGTAAGATGGGAATAGTTATCAAATAATATTTCACGAAGAACTTCTTACAGTCTTTGAATTACTTGTTTTGATCGATTTACTAATTTTCAATACTCACCTTCTAGCATTGAACACCTGAGGTACGAGGCAGCAGTCAGCCATGGAAATCTCATCGCCTACGCAGTATTTTCCAGCTGAGGTGGACAGCGCTTTCTCCACCGCCCGGAAGCCACGTGTGATCCAGTGTTGGGCCCACTCTTTCTTCTTCTCCTCGCCCACGTGGATGAGCACGATGAGGTTCTGCAGGGGTTGAATGCCCGAGCAGATGATCTCGACAATTTCGCGGACCTTTGCCCGCTTGTGGACGTCTTGTGGGAGGAGGGGTCGCTGGGGACGGGTCTCTTCCAGGTAGTGCATAATGGCCACCGACTCGATGAGGGTGTGTCCATCTAAAAGCGAATAAATATTGAGAGTAAAGGGAATTTTTAAGGTTAAGGGCACTCAAGCTAGACTCACCGATCTGCAAAGCGGGCACCTGCTCCATGGGATTGACCTCGCGATACTCATTACAATGCTGCTCGCCACCGGATTTGATCAGGCTGATCGGCTTGATGTCGTAGGGTATCTCCTTCAGGTTCATCGCAATGCGCACGCGCCAGGAGCACGAGCTGCGCCAATACGAGTAGAGTATTGGCTGTGCGTCGGAGGAGGAAACATTCGGATTAGTAGACATTTTACGACAACAGCCCAGCGTTAAATGGCATGACAGGCCCACAAATTCTATTACGAAATCTATTTATTCTAATTTCGAAAAACACAAATGGCACAGAACAGGTTGCTGCCGCTGATAACGAGTTGGTTTGGGAGGCACAACTAGCGCCTCGGCTAGTCAAACTGGTTTAATCATTTGCATTTGGTGTTGTTTTTATGTTTACTTCGCGATAAAGTAGATCTCTCAATTACGCACTTATCTATCTATTCTATTCACAGAGATAACAATGATTTTCCCCGAGATTTCTCTTTTTTTTTAAAGAGATATAGATATACCCACATGATTCATAATGTCCAGACAGGAGCAACGCCAGCGATAGACTGACAAAAAAGCACAGCGTCAAGTTCGACTTGCACCAAAAATAGCGCCCGACAACAGCTGCAGAGCAACAGTGGAGAGCTTCGGTCGGTTCGGAGGGGGGCACCAGTAGAACCTATACCATATATACCCATATTCAATGGCCGCCGATGAGGACGAGCCCTAAAATGATATACACACAGCTGGCTGTTCCGGCCTGGCCAATCAACCCAGCAGAGCCTATCGACGGGTCGTCGCTGTCGTAGTCATCCCACCCACACACGCTACCATATTCACGGAAAACATAATGAGTTCCCTAAAAGTTCAATGAACTCATGGGAAAGTAAGGACGATGGGTCCGAAATGTCCCGACAACCGACATCCGAGTTATCCGAGCTGCAAGTTCCGTTTCGGTGATCCCGAGCTCCCGAGTCCCGAACTGTGTCGCACCCCAAGGTCGGCTAGGGGCATTAACCTTATTCAAGTTGTCGTTGTCCTGAGTCCGCAGCGCGAAGGCAGCGCCAAGGACACAGGACCCCTGCTCAAGAGAAAATTGGCTCAGAAGTTTCGCCATTCGGTTCGAGAGGGTGTGCTTTTTTAGGGGTTGCTTGCTGAGTTCGCGAGTTGGAGTTTGAGTCAAAAGCATAGAGCAGGGTTGTCGAGTTGTTCCTAAAACTAAACCCATTATTTTTTGTCTTATGAGATGATAAGATAATGATTTCAAAATTCAACAATCAAACCCAATTAAAGTTTTTTAGTAGCTCATTCTAAAGATTCCATATTCCCTTCCCACTAATTATCCTTTTTCTAAACTTTCGAACGCCTGACAACCCTGTTTTTGCAAACTTTTGCAGTGTGTACGCGAGGGAGGAAAGCTTGCCGTTGTGCGCAAAATCAAATTGCGGACTCGGAGGCCGGGGTATGAGTGAGACCCAGGCTGCGACTGAAGTCAGAGATTTCTGGCCGCGTGGTATGAGTGATATTGCGAGGAATGGGTTTTTGCCAAATGCTGAATACAAGGCGCCAATGACGCTGGGATTCGCTTACCTTGGCTATGGCCGATAAGGACATAGCGTTGTGGTGGTACTTTGAGTAGTTAATTTTGAAGCCGTTTAGTGCAGACGCACAACCCCGATTGAAAGTTAAAAAAGGTTACGATCCGAGCCGGTTTAACGGTAAAGCGGAACTAATTACTTTAAGGATATATATCCTATATCCTTTATCCCGCACAATTCGATATATCGAACACCATTCACTAATTGCCAAATATATATATATATATTATATGGCTTGATCTGACGCACAGTTCTGGCTGTTTTATGCTTGCAGCCGCTTTGTAAATGCACTCAAATCCTCAAACTGAAACCGCTTGGGCAAGCGCTGAGGCAAAGGATAGCGACAGGATATGAAGCCAGGACGCAACTGAACACACTGAACTAAATAAACGAGTGCGAAAGCGAAAGCAAAAGCGAACGCAAAAAGGACAATGACAAAAGCCAACAACAATGTCAGTTGAACGAGCGTGTGTGTGTGAGGGAGGTCCACCGCGAATGGGAGAGAGAAAAACAAAGAGAGAGAGTGAGAGCGCAGTGCAGCGGTAATAAGGGAAAATGGAGGAGAATTGCAAAGCTTTTGGGGTTGCGTCTCAGCTAAACTTTCAAAGGGTTGTATAAGCAGAGGGACTAAAATGTATGTGGTACAGTAGACACCTACGATATGGGATTAAAAAGGATTTCTAATACCAACTTTAAAGTTCTAAATTCAGTAAGTTGGAATAGTTATCCAAATTTTAAAAGTTATATTTTATAGTTTTATTTTATAGTTATATTTTAAGCTTGGGATTCGAGATTAAAGTTAGGATTATTGATAACGTTTTGCTTGGGATTAAGGCTGATGATAAAGTTAACTGTTAAAGCTTCTCTCTCCAGTTGTACTGAAATTCCAACCCATTAAAAACATCTTCCATTTAGTTACGACCACCACTTTATTTTCATTTTGTGTTTTTGTAAGTTTAGTTCATTTTCATTAAATTTGCTCAAATCATGTTCGATTAAATTACAAGTGCTTAAACCTAAAAGTATGTATGTACGTATGTATGGACTAAAATAGTTAACAAAGTTTGGCAATCAGTTACAGTTAGTCAAAACGAGTCCAAAAACGAGTTCATTACGCATGTACAACCAAAACAACAACAGGAAATTGAATAAGTTATATATAATTATTAATTTCTTAGTTTTCAATATTCGTTTTTCCTCATACTCTGACCTACCCTTTCCTTGGCCAGGTTACGATTAGTAGAAATGCAACAATGTGTAAAGCGGCTCAAAAATTAACCGCCACAACCAATAGAATATCACACCAAAAATGGTAGAGTCCAACAGATCCAACAGAGATTCTAAAATCAGTGAGTGAGTGTAGAGTCTTAGTGAGTGTGTGTGTGTGTGTGTGGGAGAGTGTTGAGGAGTGCATAGTGGAGAAAGAGAGAGTGTGTGTTTGTGTTTTTCATTGAGGGACGCGGACCTAACTAGCTTGGTAGGATGCGCGAGGGCAGGATCTCCAAGGATCTTCAGATCACAGGGAGAGCCCATCCTGCCCAGAGGTTTGTGCCTGTACAGTGTGCTCTCGCGGGTGTCCGGGGCGTGGGCTTTTTTTGGGTACAACATTCATAAAGTTTATCTACCTCGGCGCTACCTAAGTTGTCGTTGTCGTTTTGCTAGCTAACAAAAGTAACTGTGTATATATTATGTATAAAATTACCAACAAATTCATAAATTATTGTTGTAATACGTTTAGAAAATAGTGTCCATATATATCATCATGCTGTCTTCACACTTAGCCTAATGTGTTTTTCTTTTTTATGTTTTTTGGTTTTTGAAGAATTGACTACTATTAAATGGCAAATGTGTGCCATAGTTTCTCTTTCCACTTTTCTCGTTTTTTTTTTTGTAGAGTTTTCGTTTTTTTGTAGAGTTTTAGTTTTTAAATTACATACACTTCACATACACATGCAATACACAATAATCATTGTAATTGTAATTACGTTAAATGTAACTGGTAACATCATGCTAAATACAGTATTCCTCCATTATAGACAGTTTGCACATTGCTTCCTAAGAACCATTACCATCCTACTGCCTACTGCCTTTCATTACAGTTATCAGAGATTTGACTTTTAGCAAATACGTAATTTTTTAAAAATTATTTGGAGGGAATATTCATGATTTTTTTCTTTTTGGTTTCTTTTTTTTTTTTTGCAAATATCTCTTACATATTGATCATTTGTGATGTTCAGAAAATATTTCGTTTATCCATTGTAAGATCTGGTAAAAACAATGAATGATGTACGTTAAACGAAGAGACGTATCTATTTTCGTTGAAAGAAATGCATTAGATGTGATGTATTATTAGTTATTAGGTACCAAAAAGTGTAAAGCAATGTTGAAGTTAATTCTGCGTTTAAATAAAAGCATGTAAAATGCATTAAATCTATTTTTGATCATCAGTTTACAACCATGAAAACATTTAAGTTTACATTTACTCTTATTATGTACATATAATAGATGTACCATAAAATATTCGTTCATATCAGAATATTAATATTAGCACTGTATAAACGTACATTTATATGTGTGTGTGTGTGTGTGTGCGAGTTAAATAGGTATTACATGCTACGTACAATTTACGATCAACAAGAGGTTACAGCATCTCAACTAAATGCCATAAAGTAACAGTTTGCTTCTTTTATATAAAAGTGTTCTTCTTTGCATATTACAGTTAAAACTTACATCGTAGATTTGTGTAGTTCTTTGTATATGGTACTTAATCATAGCAGGGCCGATCAGCCCGACCATTTCCTCCATCGCTTTTGCGAAGGTCATTTTCCGGGCATTTCGATAATACTGAGCGGTAAAGTTTGTCTCGCAATTCATCGTGTCTTTAGGTTAGATCACGATCGATCCTTGTTAGGGGCACAAATATGAAGGGTTCATGGAATGCGTTCAGGAGAACATCTCATAATTTCGTATTGTTTTTGTTTTTGCTCGTCAGTCTAAATACTCTGAGATTCCGCATTTGAAAGCAAAGTTCTTGAAAGAGGTGCTTAACAGAAGGTCCTGTAAATACTATGATGACGCTTAAAATGTCCACTTACTTGGCTAAACAGGAATGCAATAATGCACTGGTGTACACGAAGGTGTACGGACTATGTATACATATATATGTATATATATATATATATTATATCTTTGTTTTCTGAATGGATCTCTCGATTCGTTTTAAATAAAATTGATATGTCTAATAGCTATTATCAATCGTTTTCAATTTCAAAAGGTTTTTTGTATTGTATTTCGAAGTAATTCTGTTGCGTTTTCTAATTTTAATATATCGGTTTTTTGGTTTTTTGGTTTTTTGTTTGTTTGGTTTTCAGTTTTCAGTATGACATTTATGATAGTATATATGTATATCTGTACGATTTACAAAATATTGCAAACAGATGCCGAGAAGAAGTAAACCACTCATGCAACTATATAGTTTCTTTTGTCAATTGGAATGCAAATTGTATATATATATATATACTGATGATTTTTGAATGTGATTTCGACATTTGAGCTAGAATTAGTTTGGCTTTTGAGGAATCTGGAGGCGTGTGTATCGCCACTATATACAGTTTACTCTAAAATACGTATCTTGTATTGCATAAATACAGTTTATCTTTACATTCGCTTAATGAACAATCACAACGCAGAGTTTTCGAATAAAAGTGAGTGAGGTGGAACCGCTGACGCTGATGATTCCGGAAATTATCGCTCGGAAATACATATCGGAAGTCATATTCAATGTCACAGATTGTCCTTTACTATTGTTTAACTATTTGGAAAAGCGAAAATAAAAATGCCAGACCAGATCGGGTGAAAAATGAAACAGTTGAAATCATTTAATTGGTAAACGATAAACATTTTGGCACACTAAATGAAACTTAAAATAAAATATAAATAAATTAAGTAATAATATTAATAATAATAATATCTACTGCATTTGACTAGACGTTCGAGCAGATGCCTAACATTATCCATTTATCCATTCTTCTTTGTCTTTAGGAAACTTTTTTGAAAAGCAACAAAGTGCACACACATGTGAACTTAAGCTAACGTTAGCCTAGATTTGAACACTTACTTAAGGATAAACACTCATTTGTGGATACTTTATTTAATAATACTTAAGACTTATATACGCTTGAAGGCATTTGAGCATAGAACAGAATCAAACTCAGGCGGAAACGGAAACATGGGCATGGAAATGGAGATGGAAGCGGAAAACGGAAAACGGAAGACTTGTAGAGAAAATGCACACAACAAAGGATGACCATTTAAGATGGGAACGGGATATAGGTAATTGGTTTTCTTTTCTTTTTCTTTTTTCTTGTATTTGTACGCGAGAAAGTCTTTAAACGGCTGCGAAGGCCCACAACAAACAGTTACCGAAGGTGCTTTATGGTGGGCTGCTTTAGCTGTATTTGCTTTTAACTATATCTGCTTAGGCTTATTGTATATAACACCGAAAAATATCCAAGAATTATGTTGTCCGTCAACTAAATCTATGACTATTTTAATGATTACTAATGCCAAGGAAAAATAGAACAGCAGACTGATAAAAAACTCCTTTATGGGTGATTTGTATATCTCTCTATTTTGTTTTCCCTTTTTTTCCTCCATTTATTTACAGCACCCTATTCGTAGTGTATTTTCTTGCAGTGTTGTACGATAAGAAAAAGTCACGCCATCTAGCGGCGAATACAACCATAAGAATTGCTAATAGTTCCCATCTTCCAAATTTCTATACCGGATCTGCGGTGGTGGTGGTGGTGTTTTGGTGATGAGTGGAAAAGAGGAGCTTGAGAGGGGAAAGGCGGAAGGTATATTAGACTAAACGTGAGTATTTGGTTTTGGTTTTTGTTTTAGCCCTGCATGCATTGGTTTTACATTAAACTAGATTAAGTTACGCCATTGTCAATAACATACCACCCGGCATTGGCCTCAAAAACGTTGTTGAATCAATTGATCAATTTGTTGTAGTACATTAGCTCACTGTCCAAATGGAAAACGTGTGATTCTTGTTGTTGTTGTTGTTCAAATTACTGGCAGATTTACTGTTGTACCATTTAATTTAATATATGCTTGTATATAATAACTATGTATATATCCTAGGCCTATATAAAACTGCACTGTGAGTGTCTCTGTGTTTGGTTTTCATTTTGTGGGGTTTTCTTTTTGGAGTTAAAACCCTCGTTGTTTGTGTTCATTATGTTTTTTTGGGTAGGAAGGAGGGTTGGGCTTGGGGGATTCTAGAATTATAAATAGATTAATGTCTTTTATGCGTTTTGGAGAAATTTGAAAGATATCCTTCCTTATCGGTTAATTTGCTAGACTCATATTTACAGTGTCTCTTACAACCTACAACGTTTGCGTTTTGCGTTAAAAGTAAAAGTTAAAACTTTTCTCAACTTCCGTTTTTTCGTTTCTTTTTTTTTACAATTGGTGTGCATTGAATTTTGTTCACGTTTAGCTAAAATCGTTTTTGATCTCACTCAATATCACTTGATTTCACTAGATTTTCTCTTTTGGGTTTTTCGGTTTTTTGGTTTTTGGTTTCTCTAAGCCATAGTTCATAGTTCAATAGTTTAGGTCTGTAGGTATAGTATGGTAAGTACAATCTAAGTAAAACTTCAACTACTCGGAGTTGCTGACTTGCGTCGTCGTTAAAACTAGAACAACAATCATATATCGCATACATCGTACACCTAGGCATGTAATTATATATCAATTATGTATATATATATAGAGATTCTCTTATTGACTAGACATTTATCGCCCTAGTAAAGTATCAGTGTAGTGTGTTGCAACTATGTACGAGTATTTGAGTAGAAAAACTTGTAGTTAACAGTAATTATGCACTAGTATTTATCATAGATCGGGATTTCGCCTTACCTTTAGCCATAGTTTTAGTATATAGTTTTAGAGTGTGTCTGGGTGTGTGTACATCTACAGTCGAGTCGAGCAGAATAAACGCCTACATATAGTATATATAAAAAACGGTAGGTATACATTTACATAATATTCGTATCGTATTTCGTAGATATTACTAGTACTTCAACATAAATATTGCACTTGTCTACAATAGTCAATAACAATTCAATTTGAACTTTTACCAATCTTTGGCTAGACTTACAATCTACAGCGAGTCGCAGTGTTTTCCTACTTAGTTAGTTAGTTAGAGAAGTGATTGATAGGAGTGAGATAGAGAGGTCTAGGACTAGGGCTAGGGCTAGAGATAGATAGATAGATCTAGTGAAGAAATGCCTTTAACTACTACGTACACGTGACATTGATTTTTAGACTCAAATTCGTCTAAGCATAAATTCTAACAGTGGTAAACAATGCTTGCTGCTTGCTTAATGCGATTGTCAATCGATTTTTGTTTGTTTTTTCTTTTGGTTTTCCTATATAGCTATATATAGCTTATCCATATCATTCCTCTTCGATCCTCGATCCCTACGACGGTGTGGTGATGGTTGATGTAGCTACGGCGGTCAATCCAGTTCCAGCCTGATGATTAAGCTGATGTTTCTGATCCGGCTCCTGGACGCGATGAGTCTTCATATGCGCACTGCGACTCTTCACCTTATTGAAGACCCTACCGATAGAAAAGAGAGCAGAGAACAGGGCACCATGAGAACACATAGGTCTGCAGTCTACATTTCTCTGGACTACGAACTACTAGCAGAATGCAGACTAGGCGGATTAATTGGACATTTAGATATAATATGAAGCACATAGAGTTTATATTCGTAGCACATGCATAGGTATATAGGGTATATAGATATAGCTGGGCAGAAGAAAGTCATGCAAAGATACGAAATAGACGTTTGCTTTTCAATTTTCTGTTCACTTCTTCTTACTTAGCCTGGTGTGGAGTTTAAATTTGCTTTTGGTTGTTTATTTAATAACTATGGAAAATAGAGAGTTTATGTTTAGGAATACAAAAAAAAGAACAAAACACAAAATAGAAAACATTTAAATTAGTGATTAATTACATATATATCTTAAAGGAACGGAAGAATTGAGAGTGTGCGCTTGAATGATACAGCAGCTCTGGGATTGTGATCTCCGTATTATAAAGGAACCAGATACAGATCACGTCGTAAGCCAGCTGTTCCAATATACATATGAAGGGTTTTATATAATATTTTTTTTTTATAATATTTACAAAAGTGGAGAAAGTTTATTCGAAGACAAATTACAATAATACACAAAATTAGAGAACAGAGAGATCAAGTGAATGGAGCGTGAGAACGGAAGAGGGATATCGAAATTAACCGAAAGGTGAGAACGAAAGTCGAATCTCTCCTACTTACCGGGCGTTTGGCCAGCGAGCTGTACGTGTGGACTTGTGGAGCTGATATCAGTTACGGTTACGTCTATTTGCGAGTTGTGATTCTTCGCTTTAAAATTGCAATTTATCGATTTATTCGTATCGTATTCGTTATTTGATTTTTGATTTTGTTTTTGAGGGGATTTCGCATCATGGAACAATACAATACAACAACAATAACAACAGTTAATATATCGCTTGATGAAAACTCTAACTAACTTAAGGCATAGTAGTCGAAAAAACTGTCATACGAAAGGAACTAAAGTTGGTATATCTACTCAAAACTAAAACTTATTGGAAAGTAGTAGAAAGTGGGGGTAGCACATAAGACAACTCAAAACTGAAGAGAACTTAGGAGTTTCTCGAAACGATAAGTACAGTGAACTCAAGATCTATTAATCAAGAAGAACTCGTATACGGCATACGATATACACAAGTTATTTTACGGTACAGCGTGCGTTTACGATCTCAACTCAAGTCAATTACGGGCACTCAAATCGCTTGCGGATTTTCGAATTTTCATACGATTTTCACGTGTTTTTTGGTGGAAATTGCTTTGGGGGAATCTTACTTGCCGCACACCTTGCAGGGGAACTCGCCCTCCTTGGCTATGGGTAAAGTAGTGTTGCCAATTGCCGTGTCCATTTTGGCCGTGGCTGAAAGCGCAGACGATGTTGCTGTCGTTGCATTTAGATTCGAATTGCAGTTGCTGCCGTTTTGACCCATGTTGCTGCCGTGGCTTGCTGCTGCTGTTGTAGCATTGCTAGTTGGGTTATTGCTGTTGCTGCTACCTAGTGTTGCACATGCGTAACTGCTGGTGTTGTTGCTATTGGTGTTGCTATTACTGCTCGAGGAATTGGCACTATTTGCCGTGGCATGTTGCATGTTGCTGTTGCCGCTGTTATTGGCGTTGCTGGTGCTACTGCTGCTGCTGCTGTTGTTGTTGGTGTTGTTGCTGCTGGCACTGCGACCATAAGCGTGTATGCGGACATGGCCGTGCAGCGCCGCTTTCGAACTGAAGCTCTACATTCGGCGCAGGCGAGGGGATTGGCAAGATTTTTGGATTTTTGAGCGTTATGTACAAGAAAGAAAGTAAACAGAAAGAGCCAGTGAGGTAAGGTGGGATGTTGGCCTTCGGCTTGGGGGAACTGCCATTCGTGCTCGGGCTAAGGGGGACATGCTGCAGTGCATCTTAGAGCCTACAACTTACCGCTGAACAGTCGGCGATCTCGCAGACATAGGGCTTCTCCACAGCGGGAGCAATGACGACCACGGGCTCCATCTTCAAATGCGATACCTTGTAGTCCACGCACAGTTTCTTCCAGAAGTAGTACATTTGGACACATTCGCCGGAGGATTTTGTCTGCAGCTATATATTAGAAGAATCTTCAGTTCCATTCTTCAAAAGATAGTAAATTAAAGGGGTTCTCACCTCACTAGCAATCTTGCCAAAGTCCTTGCCGTGCTTCTCCAATCCCCGCAGAAACTGCTCCAGCTCATAGGCCGTCCACTTCATCTGGAAAGCACCGGACTGAGTTTGCAACAGGGTAAGCACAGCCGCCGCAGAGTTTCCTTTGGCCTTAAGCAGCGTTTGGAGCGCCACCTCCTCGGAATGACTGCCCATGGGCACGGCCGATGACTTGCTGAGATCAATGTAGCGCATCAGGATTTTGTCATCCTCCTGCACCTCCGGATTCCACATCATCTCAGCGCACAGTGAGTCCCTTGATGCCTCCTCGAACGGCCGACAGCTGGGTATCTGGGCTTGGTATGTCGAACCCAGATTAACCTTGGATTCATCAGAGAAATCGACCAGGCCCACCGAATCCCCAAAGTCATCGTCGAAGGCATCGAAGAGTCCCTGACCCAGTTGCTTGCGCACGTTGCAGTACAAGCCAGTGCCCTTGCGATCCGGATTCAGGATGGGTGCGGGCGTGTAATGGGTGCGGGATGGTTTGCGCAGTTTGGAACGATGTGGCGACAAAGTGTGGAACTTGGAGAACTTGTGCGTCTCCTGGGGAGCATTGGAGCGCAGGCGACGCTTCAGTATGGAATTGGTTTGGTTGGACAAAGGCTGTAGATTGGCCACGCTTGGGGGGTTGGACAGGAGACCGGGTAGGGGTTTGTTAGCCACGGTTGTCGTATTGCCACAGGCGAACAACAGGCCCGCATCGATTTGGCCTTGATTGGCATTCATTTGGCAATCGGTGGTGAGCAGAGTTTCGTTGCCCCCGGCTGAGGCGTTGCCATTGGAAGTGGTTGCCCCGCCATAAAGCAGCGGTTGCAGCAGGCTGTTCAGTGGCTGCATCCCCATGCCTCCCTGACTGCTATCTATATACTGGGTTTGGCTGGTAACTTGAGCAAATCCATGACCACCCACTAGGGGGAGCATAAAGTCACCCTGCTGCTGACCCACCGCTGGCATGGAATCCGTTTGATTGAGTGGTTGCTGGGGCAACAACAATTGTTGATGCTGTTGCGGTGACTGCTCCTGCTGCGACTGTTGCTGCTGTGGCTCTTGCTGCTGCTGCTCCTGCTGCTGATAGATGCTGTTGCCGTTGCCCTGCAGAGGCTGCTCCAGGGGTTGTTGCATGTTGGTCGCCTGCAGGGACATTTGCTGCCTTTGCTGACCAAATTCTCTTGGAGAGGAGGACAGCAAAGGGTCCTCTGAGTTAGGCATCATCTGGGATTGCAAACCCAGTCCAGGCAGATAGTAGAGATCTATGATATTCTCGCCCTGCTGCTCGCTGCTCAGCTGGAGTTGCATATTCTCATCGGGCAGGACTTCCCTCAAAACCTGCTTTACATCCTCCGCAGAGCCTATGCCGCTGGTAAAGAAGGATTCCGAAAGCGGTGAGGTGGCATTCCTAGAGTCATTGAGAAACTCCTGATCCTCATCCAAGAACGAAAGATTCGTCTCGGCAAACTCCCGCAGATCACACTCGGTGTCATCGTTCGTGCCATTCAGCAGATCCTCCACTTTAATAGACGGATCGAAGCTACTCTCCTCCAGTACCGACTTCAGCTTCAGAATCTTCTCGTTGTCGTGCTCATTTAGCTGCTCAATGGTGGCTTCGCCCTCATCCGTCTTAAAGTAGATGTGCGAGAAGTCCGTCTTGTCCCCAAAGAAGGTGTTACTGGCATCCACAAACTGGGCAGCTGCATCCTCGATAAACGGTGAACTCTGGGCCATGTTCTCGTGACTCGAAGGAGGAGTGGGATAGGCCAATGGCGAGTGAAGTGGCGAGGCTAGGACACCACTTCCACTGCCCCGCATGCTGGCTATCGCCTGGATCTGCGAACTGTTCTGCATGATCAGCTCCTTGGAATGGAATTGCTGGAAGGTGGGCAACGGCGTGGTAATCGCGCCGGATACAGTTCCAGATCCAGCATTGGCTTGTCCACTTTCCGGCTCCAGCTTCACCAGCTGGGTGTGCGCACTATCGCCGGCTTCGCTCAGCAAAGCAAAGTCCTCGGAATGTTCGCTCTTGATCTCCTCGTCGTTGAGGAGCTCCATGGAGTCAACCGTCTGCAGCAGCATCTCGGTATCCGAAACGTTGTACACTTCGGCATCATCAAAAAGATCGGTGCCATCGCTGGTATAGGTCACCGTGTAGACTCCACCTCCTCCACTTGAGATCACACTTCCCGTTCCGCTGGCATTTCCACCTCCTCCCGTGATCTCTTGATTGGGAGCAATTGTCAGGGAAAGTGGCGTGCCATCAGCCAGTGAGAGATTACCCGAGGAACAGTTGCCAGTACTATTGCTCTTTACCAGGCTGCTTAAACTGCTCAGCTTGCTTTTGGTTGACACCACCTGGACATCGGAGGGTATGATCACTGTACGATTATTGTTAGTAATGATCTGCCGTCCAACCGTCTGCATACTGCCACTACCCCCAATGGTGGTCAACTCGGTTACAGCACCCACTGCATTGGTTGTTGCTCCACTGGAAGTCATCATTAAACTGGACCCTATTTGGCCTTGAGATTGAGCCTTCTTAGAGGTGACAGCAATGCGAGTTCCTCGCTTTAGGAGCTCTATGAGTGTGGAATCCTTAGGATCCGTATTGGTGGCCGTGGAAATGCCACTGATCGTGCCTCCAGCCTTCAAAGCTGTCAGAGCACTCATTGTCGTGGTGGTGGGCACATTGTTGGTGGTTATAGTGATTGTGTTGGTGCCACTACCTAGATTGAGAGTTTTTGCCTGCTTCTGACCTCCGCTGAAGATCTCAATGCTCTGCGGGAGACCAATCTGCTGGATACTCAAACCATTGCTGCTCTTGATGGTGGTGGCCGCTGGGAGAACAGCTGTTGTGGTGCCCGTGGTGGTGGTCATCGTCTGCGTGTGACTGCTGGTGCTGGTCTTCGGGTTAAGGAAGCTTTCCAGGTCGCTGATTGATCGACGCAGGGTGGTGGTGGTGCCACTGCTGTGCGGTGGTGCCGGAACCACAAAGGAACCCTAAACGAAATGGGAAATTGTTGTATTTTTTTAGACCTTCAACTTGGTTATATTTCCTCACCTTAGTCATGTCCTTGCGCTTGCTGATGATCTTCTCCTCTATAAGGGCCCTTACTCCTATGCTAGCCGTCTGCAGGGGTGGACCACTGGAGTCCTTCTTCTCGCTGCGCTTGGTTTCCGGATCCTTCTTGTAGTAGCCGCCATGCAGGCGCATGTGCCCATTGAGGGCGGGTATGTTTTTGAACTTACGGTGACAGAGATTGCACTCGACCGGCTTGTCGAGCTTGACGATGTTGAGCAGGTGGGGATTCATGTTGCCCACAATTTGTGGACTTAGCTCCTCCTCCTTGACCTCCACGGGTGAGTTGGAGGAGGGAGCTACAAGCTCAGAGTTGTCCTCAACGGTGACGGTCACATTCTGGGCACTATTTAGCTGTTAATGATAGAAGATGATATGATATTCTGATTTAAGATTGGTTCTACATCTTAACCCCTTACCAATTGCATGTTCCAGGTGCGCGGTCTGTTCTGCGATGGCGACGAGTTGGTGTTGATCTTGTAGGAGCTGACACTCGTTGGCGAGGAGACGGTGACCTGGGCACTTGTCTGCTTCGTTTGCTGCATAATCTTGCTGATGAGATCCAACTGTTCTCGGGTCAGACCCTCGCCCTCGAGGCTCATGCCGTCGCTGAGTGTTATGGTGGGCGAACTGGCGGCTATCATAGTGCCACTTGAGGGTGACGGGGCCATTGAAATTGATCCTGAACCCGAACCTGATCCCGATCCCGCTGACGAAAGCGATGAGCTGGCAGATGAGGCCGTGGAAGAGGCATTCGAGGAAGTCGATGTGGTGGGCGACAGTAAGGTCACGCCCGTCTTGATCGGCAGGTTCATGGCCTTAATCTGTTCCTCCGACAGGGCGATACCAGTGGCCGCATCCACCACCGAACTGCCCGTGGAAATGTAGGTTCGAATGCAGGTGGCTCCGTCCGGGGAACTGGCATCTCCGCTGGCCGTAGCCGGCGATAAACTCAAAGAGCTTGTGGCCACACCAGCACCACTGCTATTGCTGGTACCACTCGAACTGGCGGTGGGCGATAGCGATTGACTGGTGGTGGGTGTGGCTGCTCCACCCGCATGGTGATTCTCCGAGTGACGCCTTAAGGATCTGGCATCACAATAGGATTTGCCACAACCATCCGCCTTACATTCGTAAGGCTTCTTGTTCCGATGAGTCATCATGTGTCCGTTTCTAAGAGAAACAAACAAAGAAGAGTGGGTGGTTCATAGGATCAGTGGATCAGTGGTTTTTGTAACTCAACAGATCAATAGATCACTAGTTAGTGCGCCTCATTTACTTACAAGTGATCTTGCCGCTTGAATGCCTTCGAGCAGAGCGCACAGATGTATTTCCGCTCGTCGCTGTGCGTCAGTTTGTGCTTGGCCAGCGCCGAGGCATTTCCAAAGATCTTGCAACAAATCTATAAAAAGTCCAAGTGAAAAACGTAGGAGAAATGTAATTAGCACTGGCTGTCGGCTGCCCTCTAGATAATTGAAAGCGCTGCGGCCGTCGCTCGCCGTTCGAACATTTTAATGAGCCACATTGCGTATACGTTATGTGTGTAGTTTTGGGTGTTTTTTTTCGTTCTTCTTTTCTGCGGCCACCACACACCGCATGCTAATTACGACCAACGAATTCCGTAACCAAAAGCTGGGCCACATTCATACCCTAAACTATCCGCAGGAACAACTGTGGACGAGCATGTGGACTGGACGAGGTTATGTTTGATTGCCTGCAGCAGGAGTGAAATTTCAATTCCCCGATGCTGCCGCTGACCAAACATTTCCTCTCCACATCCGCAGTATCGTAAAACGCGTCATAAAATGTACTTTATCGTCGTACTCTACAGTAGATGCGCAATAACAACAACAACAACAAAGAGAATGGAGGAGGAGGACTTTAAGCCGCAGCACTTTGAGCGGCTGTCAGTTTTATTGACAGACGTCGAGACGTGTTGAATGCCCCTGGCGAGAGCTGTTCGATATGTCAGCCAGTGAGTTTTGGATGTGGAAATTTTTCACACGGCTAAAAAGGGGTTCTAAAATCAATATTTGGCTTTCGAAATCTATAACTAGATGGGAAGCTGTGTTCTGGAGGCAGGAATTTATGTTAAACGCTATAAGGCAGGTCCGAAAATAAACCAAAGTCAGCGATGTGGAAATTAGCACGGAAAAAGATCTTATTTTGGGTTTATGAATTAATTTTATAAATGAAATTGGCAAGTATGTATAGATAATTAGTTCCTAAGATCTTGTTTTCATTTGGAAATTAAGTTTCCTCTTTGAAGATTAAATTGTCTTTAGTTTCTAATATTTTCTAAGGTAAGCACCTTGTAAAACACTTTTCCTCAGTGCAAGAAATTTGTTCAAAGAATTCTATTGAAACGATTTCTACCCTTTGATGGTCTTTCCAACAATTTCCGAGTTATTAATTCTTGCAACTTCTAAGCCAATGGAACTGCCCTCTTCTTACAGCATCCCAACTAGACGGGCTCTGCGCTCAATTAGCGCCGTGCATAAACACACCAGACTACGGCCATATAATAATATTAGTTCCAAGTGGCTGTCCGGCGGACTTTAACGAGTAGAAGGGGCAACGGATTCAGAGGCGAAGGCACTTGCGAGAACGCGTACGCGTTTCACCTGCCACTCGAACGAGACGACCTTAATGTCTGTTTATAAATATTGCACGACTGTCTGTACGACATGTTGGCATGGCTCAGAATGAGCGGCGATAAATTGGCGATTAGGCCACGGATATATATAATATATATACTACACACACACACACAGGCACACATATATAAAAGATATACCGCAAAAGCCGCAACGGACTTTCATACGCACCTGACACTGCTGCGGTCCGTGACGCGTTGGTGAGGATAATTTGGGTCGATTTTTCACTCGTGGCGCTTCGACGCTTATGATGCCAATACCGTTGGCGGTATTGCTACCGTTTGTAGATGCCGTAGATGAGCTTAATCCACCACTAGTGGGAACATGTCGACCGGTGCCCTTGAAACTTAAACTATGTCCACCGCCGCTGCTGCTGTTGCTGTCGTTGCTATTGCTGTTGCTGCAATTGCTGTTGCTGCTGCTATTGCTGCCGACACTGATGCTGCTGCCCACTGAAGAGGCGGTACTGAAGTTGCTACTATTACTGCAGTTGCTGTTGTTATTATGCTGATTGAGTAAACTGGCCGCGCTGCTGGTGCTGCTGTTGCTCATAATCTGCGCCAATGTCGTGACATTGGTGACTGTGTTGCTGCAGCTGCTGCTGCGGATCAAGCAGTTCTTGATGTAGCTGGTGTTGGTCTTGCTATGGCCACCAACGCTGTTGTTCGTCGAGGTGCTAACGGACTGTACACTACGCCTGGTTATGGTTATCTTATTGGGATTCGTCAGATGATTGCTGCTCGCCGACTTGACGGAGCTATTGCTTGAAGTTGCTGCTGTGATTGAGTTGTTGTTCTTAAGAGCTGTAGGATTAAGGAGGAAAGTGAGACAATAGTTCAATGTCAATAATATATAGTTAACTTACAGGCTGTTTGAATGGTGCCCAAGACATCTGCCAACATTTCCGGATCCGGATAACCGATGGTCAACGCATTCTCTAGCGTCGACGCTGGCGCATTCGCAGCGCCATTTGATGACGTCGTCGATGTGGCTACTACGGCTGATGCTGTTTTCGTTGCAGCTGCCTCCAAGGCATTCGCATCCCGCAGTTGCAGAGTCACGGATCCTTCGGTGCCCACGGATGCGCTGCACATCAACACGCGCGGCGCGCTGCTGAGAGTTGTCAATGGCAGGTGGATGCTTTTTGGTACCTGCGGGCGGTAAGTGCAAAATGCAGAACGCAATCTCAATGGCTGATAATTCATCTGAGACAGTGGGTCTTTGAGTAAATGAGATCGGGATGGGAGCATATATATGGGGAGAGGGCGGCATGGAGACAACCCGAAAACGTTGCCAAAAGGCGAGCAACAACGATGGCTGTCAGGCGAGATTAGTCGAGATTATTGATAATTCGCGGCAACTGTCGCCTAATGGACGACGCGTCGCATAATTAATTGAATTTAAATGCATTTCACTGACTACTGTGCCATGCCCACAACGCCCACGGCCCCCAGCGGCCAGTAAGTACGGAAGCGCATTGAGCATTCGCCATGTAGCCCATACATTGTTTTACTCAAAGAAAAATAAACTATATGTTTCCGTATTGTAACTAAAAATCTTTCTTTTCAATACAAATTCTCATTTAAGGTACCTTTAATTTAGTGAATAAAATTATTCAATTTTTAACTTTTTTTATTTAGGAAATTCTGCGAGTTTTTTTTTTTTGTTATTTTTCCCTATTGTCGCATTTGGCACTCGCAAAACCATTGTGTATTTTAGTCCGTCATTTATTTACCTCATATACTTGGCAGCCCCTCGACATATATTAATTTAAATGCAATAAAATTGCATTCATAAATTGGCTAGAGAGAAAAAGAGAAAAAGCAAAGGGGGTCGCAGGGGAGTCCGTTGTTAGATGAGGCAATTAATGCTTTATAAACCGCAACCGATGCCCAATTAATGTGGCCTGCAATTGCCCATAGCCACAAAAACAAAACGCCAAATGAAAATAAATAAGAGGCCAGGGCATAAATTTCCAAAAGTGCCTGCGACGCTCTGACCACAAATGAAAAACGAAAAACAACACTGGGAGTTGTAGGAAAAACCAAAGCGAAGACACTGGCATAAATTCGTTTCGGATGCATAAAATTTCACGTAAAATAAATAAACAGTAATTTTTATTATTGTTTAAGTTGTGGGCAACAGAACAAAAAAAAACAAGGCTAGCGAAAATGAAAAAGTTCCCTGAATGAACTGAACTGGAATTGGAGCCACAAGTGGCACGCCCCCGCATTAATGTTCCTTGCCAGCACAAATTTGTTTATTTAAAAATGCCAAATGGGGGCTATAAGAAATATATATGGGCAGGGGCCATTAGGAGAAGTAAATTAGATTTATGTTTATCAATTGTTGTGATAACCTTGTCGCTGCTTTGAAATGCTTAGAATAATCAAAGAAGCAAAAAGCTTAAGGAAAACCTTTAACAGGCAAATCTCGTATCTTGTTTACCAATCGCAGGGAATCATAAATTATTTTCACGGTAAATCAATTCAGATATCAAGTAATTATATATGTTTGCTCTCTCTCTCTCTCTCTGGCACAAGCGCAAAGATTTACGAGGCCTCGTCTGTTAGAAAATCCCCAATGTCTGGCAGGCAAAAGGCTGTCACCTTTGAAAGGTGAGAGGTGTGAACGGGGTGTTATGTATCCTGTTACGACACGGCGGCCCACACTCCTATAACACACTCTCCTTGCGATGGGTGGGCATATTTTAACGCCGTGATTCACGTGTCAATCAAATGTCAATGTCACTCCAAAATCCAAAAAAAAAAAAATAAGCTAGCGAAGAATGTTGAATGAATGAGCTGCCGGAGCTGCTGTTGCACGGAAATCTTTTGGCCGGTGCCAAAATCATATTTCCTTTCATTGCAGCCAGACTTGGGAGGGAATTTTTTGATGGTCAAATTTAAGTTTTGGCAAGGTCTGGTTCGTCCATTCTGCCGATTCTGTTAATGAAAATTTCGAGATGATGTCAGCGTAAAAATTGAATATGCTGGCCGGCAATTTGTCATCAGGATTTTCTTTATTTTCTACCCTCCCTCTCTTTTGCTTATTAGTAAAATGAGCTGAAACACATGTTTGGTGCAAGGGCTGAGTATGGGGATGAGAAAAAGAAAAGCCGCAGCCAGCAATGCCGTCGTCATCATCAACAACAGATTCATCATCGGGTAACTCGGTCATATGGCACGAAATCTGTCCGCTTTGCCGTGTTCTTCAATTTTCAATTTTGTTTATGATTGGGCCTTCAAAGACACGGGTATCAGCTGGCGTTCAACATGCCGTATGCGTAATATCACAAATTTAATCATTTAAAGAATGGATTTTTAAACGCTTTACGACATCAACATTATTGTCTAAGCAAGTGTGAAAATTATGGAAATTTATGGATATTTTACAGAGAGAAATGTTTTTTTTTTCATTTTGGATTTTGAGGTTGATGTTTTTTGGTTTTAAAGGTGAAAAAAAGGAAAATAAAGACTAGATTAAACTAAAATATATCTTTTATATCTCTACTTAAAACCCTTAATTATAATCATCAAATTTAATTGCTTTTCTCTTCATTTCTTCGCGACACAACAGACAATAAGTTATGACAAAGTTGGCTAACTAATAATTCCAGCTTGACTCTTTTATGACCGTAAACATTGAAGTAAATCTGTAACTGACTTTGGAACTTTCCAAAAACTTTCCCTTAAAGTAGTTAACTTTATGAATATTCAATGGTTCAGAAATGAAACATTGTCGTAGGGGATATGTCAAGAGCAAATTGCTTGGATATAAATATTAATACGTATCGGCATGAGCTATAAATTATGAATTCCCATGATTGATTGCCCACAATTGTGGCTATATACTTCTTTTTGTTTATGCCCCATAATTGTTATTTCTGTTGGCTTTGATTTACTTTTTATATATATATATTATATATATTTGCAATTTTCTTGTACTTTTTTTGTTGAGAGAACTTTCGATGTCGCGTACTTACCGTATTTATGGCAGCCATCGTCGCAATTGACGCCGTCGATGAGGTTCTTTTTGTTGTTGTAGTTGATGTTGATTTTGTTGTTGTTGTTGTTGTTGTTGGTGCTTGTACTGGTTGTTGTTGTAGTTGTGGTGGTAGTGGTGGTGGTGATGATGGGGATACAAAATCAAAAATCTGAAAAAAGTTTTTGGTATGATTGAACATATTCGAATTGGTAGCCTCTCTTCTTTTCTTTCGTTTCTTTTTTCTTTTTGGGTGACATAAAAATTTGTGAAGAGCAAACCAAAGAGCAAACAAATGTCAAAATTTATGCATAAAAATGTGCGCATAAAAACGAAGTGAAATCAAGAAATCAAATACACATGCACATACAAAAAGGCGACACTTTGGCACATTCACATCGGGAAATTCGCACATGGATGTTGGCAATGCAAAACACAATCAAAAGTATGAGAAAACTCGCATCGATTGGTTAAAAAACTTCTCGAGAATGAAGGGAATTTCGGGCGAGGGGGGCGAAAATGACGGTTAGTTGTTGGCTGAGCGATGTGATGATTGACTGATTGACTGACTGATAGACTGACTGAATGACCGACTGATTGGCTAACTGACTGGCTCACTGACCTGGTAATTAGTCACCAGGGATTAGCCTGTCGGCAGGATTAGCGAACCTTATATATGGCATTGAAAATATGTTTTAAGTGGAAATTTTTCTTGGGATTTTTAGCTTATTTTTAAGCTAAAGATTAAGTGATGGAACGGCAAGAACGGCAGAAATCATATATTTTTTTTCATTTATTTATTAAGAATAAGGGAAATAGTGCTATTAGTCTGGTTAGTGTAACTATTAAAAGTTTTATACGAGAGCCTGTAACTTAACCATTAACTTTTCCTCTTGAAAGATTAAAAAAAAAACTTCTTAAATTACAAAAAAAATGCTATCAGACCTTTGCAATTTTACAAGCTTCTTAAAAATATAAAATTACCATCCATCCCATCCTCCCCATTTTTATATACCTTTAATTTGAGATTTTTGCCAGAAAAAGCCCTACGGGTAAAACATGTTCATCGATACATTTTCCTCTGTTGCATCAAATTGCAGCATTGAAAATTTCAATTATTTTATGCACTCGCTTCTTTTGCATTTCTGGCGAATTTTCCTCCTATCGATACCCTCAGTCCTCAGTCCTCTTTCCAATTTTTCATTTTACACCGATGTCGTTGTCGAAGTCGTTGTCGTTGTCTTCGTGCTGTCGTGCTGTCTCATGAAATTTTATTTTGGTACACAATAGTCTTTGTCTGTCAGCGTGCCTGCTTATTTTTGTTTTTAGTTATTTAATTACAATTTTCTATAGTTTTATTTTTAATTTAATTCATGTTTGGCTTGCGTCCCACCCGTTTCGGCAACGCTTGGCAAAACATGCGCCACAAAATGCCACAAAAAGCTGTGCAAAAAGATTGGCAAAGATGACAAATCTTTGCTGAGAATTTTTACATTTTTACAAATACTCTGCTTTTGGCTTATAAATATTTCCATAAATCTTTAAGTAAATATATTATTAATAGAAAGATTTTGTAAGCCAAATTTATTTCTTAGTCATATTTAGGAATTAAAAATAAAATCTCGAAATTCCCCTGATTAAGTTCCTATCTTTAATTTATTTTGTAGGCCAAAATAACCTGAAAGGGCAAGGTTCCAGTTCTTTTTCCAAATGGTTGACGAAACCCACTCATTCGAGGCAATAAGTAGAGCATTCTGAAAACGATTGCGAAATCAGAAAACGAAAAAGAGACAGAAATATAGACAAAGACAGAGATAGAGACACACGAGCGTCGTCAAAAGGCGCAGTTGGCCAAGGGAACTGAATCTGAATGTGTGTGTGTGTGGGGGGAATCGAAGGGGGCGGGCTGCAGAGTGGCGAGTGCCTTACACATGTTGTTGGGCATCAGACGCACATCGGTACAGTGCGAGACATGATTGAGGGGCTGCTGAGGGTGCAGAGGGACCAGCCAGATTGTACTCAAAACGCAACAGGCAAGGGGCATGCCAAATGCATCAGATGCCTCTTGTATCTGCATTTGGATTTGGTCTGGCTTTTGGATATTTGCAGGCAGCTCGCGTTGCACTTCCTAAGCAACTTCGACAGCAGCTGCACAGAGACAAAATCT